CCCCCCCCATGTTAGTCTCTCATCAGCCCCTCACCTTCTGTCTCCTCACTCCCCCCAGTGCAAACACAGTCTCCGGTGCTCCAGGGGAAAATGCTCGTTCCCATGGCAACAGTACGGACTGCACCAGCCCCTGCTCAGCAGTTCCCCATCGTGGCCCCGCCCCTCCCCGTCCAGAACGGCGCTCAGGCTGGGAGCAAGGTCAGTGGGGACAAACCAGAGCCGGAGACTTTAGTCCAACACCTTTGTCTCCTCCTCCGTCTGATCCCACGTCTTTTTCTCTCTCCGTTCTTCCAGATTATTCAGATAGCGCCGATGCCCGTGGTCCAGTCCCAGCTGCCCCAGGCCGGGGCGGTGCACCCCGCCAACCCCTTCCCCGTGTCCGTGGGCGCAGCTGCCGTGGTGGCCACGGGCTCCGCCCCCTCCCAGGCCGTACTGCTGCCTCCGGCCCCCACCAGGTAGGAGGTCAACATTACCCTGTGATTTAACTGAAGCAGAGTCCAGGGTTTGGTTGGTGTTTATATAAAAACATCAGATACAGAATCAGAAACATGGTTTGATTTCCTTAAACCACTAGTTCTAATCACTCAGTTATGTTAGTTATATTTTATATATGTTTCTCCTGGTTTGTGACTTGTCTCTTTTCTCCCCCCCCCCGCCCCCCTCAGGATCACTTACGTCCAGTCAACACCAGGAGTCCCGTCCACTCTGCCTCTGGTCTCCTCAACATCAGCCTCCTCTTCCTCCCAGCAGGCCTTACCTGTGCCGGGGTCTTACGTCCCCTCACCCATCGCTACCCTGGGCTTCACAGCTATTGCCCCACCGGGGCAGACCTTGGTTCAACCACTGATCACAGGTCAGACATGAAAAAGACGACTTCACAGACGTTCACTCTGGAGTTCTGTGGTTCTGATCCTCTCTCTCTCTCTCTCTCCCTCTCTCTCTCTCTCCCTCCCTCCCTCTCTCTCTCTCTCGATCATCCAGGTCAGCCACCCCTCCTGGGCTCAGCTCCGTCTCCACAGCCCCCCACGTCAGCTCCTGCCTCGGGCTCCGGCGGACAGATAGTCACCGCCATCTACCCTCCTTCACCTAGTGTCACCATGGCAACAGGGGCGGTCTCCATGACAGCACTGCCCCCTAGTGTGGTCTATTCTGTCTCCAGCCCTTCCAGCGCATCCCCACACATCCTGCCAAAGCACACGGCGTCGCCTGGCACGGTTCCACGCCCATATCCAGACCGACAGCACGACAGACAGCACGACAGACAGCACGACAGACAGGTGGAGCTGCTGACACACACAGACAGACAGCTAGAAAGGCAAAAACAGACCTCCACCAATAGCAGCTCAGCGACCCCTCCTAGTGGCTCAGTGTTGTCCTTACGGCCCTGCAGTCCCTCAGTCCAGATTCAGACACCTGGTACGTCCTCACTGGTCCGTCCTCACTGGTCCGTCCTTTGTCTTACACCATGTGTTCTTCTTCTTCTTTAACATCTGTTTCTTCTGATTGGCAGGAAGTGCGACTGCTACACCAAAACTACCCCATCTTCCAATCAGAACACCCCAGAAAGTGAAGGCAACGGTGGCAAACATCCCCGTGGGCAGCTACGAGGGGGGGGGCAGAGGAAAAGAGAGGGAGCGAGAGAAGGAGAGAGAGAGAGAACGGGAGAAGGACAGGGAGCATGAAAGTGCCGTCAGCAGTCACTTCTCATTTGACCCCGAGCCCGTGGGGCAGACGGCGTCTCCAGCCACACAGCTGACTGAGGAGCCCCCCCTGGAGGGGGCCGGTGCAGCGGACCTGACAGAACTAAGGACCAGAGAGAGCACAACAGCCAAAGAGGTGAGAAGAATGTACACCAGGGGGCAGCAAAGGCTCTCGTTACAGAATGCCCTTGAAATGCCCTTTAGTACGTAGGGGGGGGGGGGGGAGGGGCGGGGGGGGGGGTGCAGCTTCTCCATGTTATTCTATGTAAAAGTTTTTTTTTCTCACTCCTTTTCTTTCTTCCTGTTTTTGAAATTGTCGTCGTGCTGCATTTGACGACAGACTGGGTGGAAGGAGTCCCTCCCCTCCTCGCCCCCCCCCCCTTCATCTGCCACAGAGCCCGTGTTACCTCCACCACAGAGCGACAAAGATGGACCTACACCCAAGAAGATCAAAGCCCGCCCCCCACCTCTGAAGAAGACGTTTGACTCGGTGGACAAGTGAGTCTCACTTTACAGCCCTCTTGGTCTCCAGCTCTTTACTGCCCCCTACAGCTGCCTCCCTGTGTCTACACATTCATGTTTACTCCTGGTTGGATGTCTGTGTGTGTTGGTCCAACAGGGTGCTGTCAGAAGTATATTTTGAGGAGCGTTTTGCGGAGCTGCCAGAGTTTCGTCCCGAGGAGGTTCTGCCCTCCCCCACCCTGCAGAGCCTGGCCACTTCACCACGGGCCATCCTGGGCAGCTACCGCCGCAAACGGAAGAACTCCACAGGTGTGAGCGGAGACTCTTTAGATCCTGGTCTGATTATCAGTGCAGTGGTAGGAAGAAATCAGACTACTCTGTACACCACTAGGGGGAGCGCAGGTACCACCAGTGGGATGTGTTTCATAGATTGAGAACCACTGAGTCGTTGTCTTTGTTGTCTTGTTACATTTGAACATTTCAGCTGTGGTCAGTTCACCTAGTCCTGGGATGGTTGTCGATGGTTGTTGATGGTTGTTGATGGTTGTTGATGGTTGTCATGGACGTCATCACATTTCATTTCCTGTCTTCTGCAGATCTGGACTCGGCCACAGACGATCAAGTTTCTCCAAAGAGAAAGAACCGACGACGCTCCAGCTGCAGTTCAGAACCAAACACGCCTAAAAGTGCAGCCAAGTGTGAGGGAGACATCTTCACCTTCGACAGAGCAGGTGAGGAGTGGGGGGGGAGGGGGGGGGGTCCTGACCTCTGACCTGGATCGATCTATTCATCTACACCGTAGTCTAATGGACATGAACTCACCATGGTTTGTCTCCCCCC